GGTTAGAACAGGATGTACTCAGGATGTGGCATACACGATCACGAGCCTCATAACGAACAACAGGAAACAGCTGGGGGTGAAAGGGTCTCGAAACTGCATTCTAAGTGTTGTAAAAAGGAGTTGCAGCTAACTGTTGCTGATGCATGATATGTAACTTGCTCATGCATCTTGGGTGTGTACAACCCTTTTAAATAAAGAAGTTCTCGTGCTTCCTCTTTTTCTCAGGGTTCCTGGGCCGTTGACCTGGTATTTTCAGTTCGTGTTCATTGTTTATCCTCTGCATGTTCTACTTCCTGTTTTATTGTGTTAGCCTCACTCTGTGAATTATGTTCTAGCTCCCTTCCCATTTATCATTAGTTCATTATGCTCAGCTGTTCTCTCACCTGTCTCTAATCACTCATTTTTCAGCCTGTGTATTTATGTTCCTCAGTTCCACCCGTCCAGTGTCGTGTCATTGATGTTGATGTTATGTTGTCGATCCCGTCTGTGTTCAGTTATTCAGCCAGCCACTCAGTCTTTCAGTCAGCTAGTCAGTCTTGCCGTTGCTGCTTTGTCCATTCACTCGTTTCAATAAATCCTCTTTGTTCTGCACCGTCACCATCTTCTTTCATATTCTTTCTGACGTCTTTTCTTGTGTAAGCTGCTAACTCTTGTGATGGACATTTCTTTATTTTATGTGTTGATTATATGTTTTGACAATATGACTTTAGTAATATCTATAGTACATTTTTGTGATTTGTTCTACATATAGGAAAACATCAAATATGTATTTCACAGGTTATTCCACACACGCAGATGGGTATTGTAAGTGAGTTGGACTGACACTCCCAGGCACCATGAGACATTAGGCAGATAGTGAGACTCCTTCTCGTTATCTCCAGGAAGGAGGTGTTGAGATGAAAATATTTGAAGTGCCTCAATTCTATGCTTTATATTAACTAAAATGCCATATAACCGTATAGTGTAGTATTAAGTGGACATGAAAAATAAAGACATTAGACTACGTGTCCTTGGGGGGTAGAATGCTGTAGACCAGCGGTCCCCAACCTTTTTTGCACCACGGACCGGTTTATGCCCGACAATATTTTCACGGACTGGCCTTTAAGGTGTTGCAGATAAATACAACACAGTACTATTTAGATACAGAAAAGTTTATATAATTATTTAGCCTTGTTGCGCAAACAAGCCTGCATAACTTAATAAATATAGAATTTGAAAAGTAACAAATGGTATCTAAAAAGATACACTAGCTACTAGATACATGTTCTGAAGAGTTT